CATCGTTTATAAGGAGTTGGGATCCCTAGGTAGATTGCCTTCTCCACGGCTAATTATAGCTCTACCTACCCTTCGCAGTACATCAGCCTTTTGCCTGACTCCGGCTCTGCCTGATGCTTTCCGGCCATAGACCCAGCTGACTCCTACTGTTTTCGGCTCCATGCAAGTACTGGTGCTACTGCTGCCTCACATCAGGAATTTTTATCGACCCCTCGGTCTAGATCCGCCGTGTCGAATGCAGGGCCACCTCGAGCAGTATGCGTTCTTCACCGCGCACGGACGGTCTTGGGTTTTAAGTATCCTCAGAGTCTCCACTTACCTGGCTTTACCAACTCCTCCACTACACCCTTCAACTTTGTGAGGACCATTTTCCAGGTGTACCCTAGAAGAGGTAGTACTCCACAAAACTCCTTGACCCAGTCATGCCTAATTAAATTATACAATTTCTTATTATCTTTTATTAAATTTAAATTATAATTATCAACTATTTTCCCTCCTTTAATGGTAACATTGTGTAATTTTAAATCCTTTTTGTTTTTATTAATTTTAATTTCCGTAGATACTTCTTTCATTCCTTCTTCACCTAATAATTAGTCAAATTTATCGCTAACGTGAAATATTTTAAACCTAATTAATAGTTCATGGTCTAGTCCTAAACGCGGGGCGAGGTCTAACAGTACGAAACCATTGCCTAATTTGCAGCCGGTTAGAGTAGTCACAATTAACTTTTCTGGATAAATTTTGATTCCTTCCGGCAAGGAATTTGGATTAATATAGTTTATTTCGGAACTAGTATCAACGAGCCATTTACTGCCTAATTTGTCTGTGAATGTAGTCAGTCATCGTTCGCTCTAATTCTGGAACCCTTTATTTTAATTGTTCGGTTTCATCTTCCATATGATCAACATTATTACTGGGAACGGTTCTCATTGACACAGTGTTTGGTGAATGAGGGTTAAAAGGTTGCGAAGGGAATGGTGCTTTGGGTTATTGCCAATTAGAATATTTTGGCTGATTTTGTTTATGAGATGGGGTAGCATTTATTTGTTGTCGGTAATTCTGATAGATTTTTTGCTCGTTATTATGATACCGATATCGCTCGTCATAATGTGGTTTGTTTTCTTGATGTCTGTTCCCATCATAGTATGGCTTGCTTTCTTCCGTCATTGTTTTTAAAATTTGGGATATTGTGATTATAATTTTTATGAATATTATTATATCTAGGAGGACCGTTATTACGACTATTGTGTATTGGCCGATTGTTCTCATATTTCTGTTGACCTTGTGGGTATATATCATCCATGATTATTCGGCAATGATTATAAATGCTATTTTTCATATCAATCAAATCGCGAATAATAACGTGATTAAGGGAACCTTTACGTCTAGTGGGTAGATTTCTTAGAACATGATCTATTATCTGTCCTTTTTGAGATTTTATTTCCTGTTCTTTATTGGTAATATCATTGTCAACCATAATTCGATTTTGAATGAGGATTTGGTATGGTAAAACTGTATTATTGTTGTAAATAGGATGTTCATTTTTGTAGATCCTGATTTGGGATACTTCGTGTTGGAAGTGTCATGTACGTGAATCCCTAAAGTTGTTAATTAAATGTGTTTTTCTATCAGTTTTTTATTTATATATTGAGTATTACAACAATTTGTCACATGGACGTTAGTTATAGTGAGGTAGGATAACATTCACACTATATGAACTAAAAATATAAAATAAGTAGAAGCAAAATAATAATCAAAATGTATATACAATAAATAAAATAAAATAACCTAAAAATGAGAAAATTAAAACTAAGCAAAAAACACATGCATATCTATATACAATCAGACGAGGGAACTCCAGGAGAACCCTGCGCTACTCTCTCAACCGCATCACTAGTACTAAAGCCAGCGGAGATTGATCGAGAGCACTTTGCCACATACACTTATGTCTTGAGTGGAGAATCTGGCCATTGCCAGAACTCCAATGTATACAATCTACAAAAGGACGTGAGGTCACTGCCGTTTCAACCTTCTTGGAGGATTATAGGGATGGGTGGTGCTTGATAGGGATTGTGCAAGAGGATTTGGATGATACGTAAGGTTCTGGTGAAATTTGGAGAATTTTTCTGGGATAAGGTCTAGGAAAAATGGGATGTTGAGGTCATGATGTAGGGTTTTGTTGGTTACATAAAAAGAAGCATCGACTATTGTTCGAAGGACTTTTGACTGGAAGGATTGGATGCACTTGATTATTTTGCTGTTCCCCACAGGTCTAGTCCGTAAGTCCAAATAGGTTTCAGTATTGTCTTGTAGATAAGTATTTTATTTTCAATAGAAAGTTTAGATTTTCTATTTAGTAGTCTGTATCGTCGAATAAGTTCCTGTCTTTTAAGTCTAGTATGAGAGTTCCAGGTTAATCGTCGGTCTAAGAGAAAGCCAAGGTACCGGACTGTATCTAAGAAAGGAAGCTAGATGGTTTTAAAATAAACTGGTGGACAGGATTTAGGACAAAGGGTGAAGGTTATATGTTTACATTTGGATTCGTTTATGTTAATGCGCCATTTCTTGCACCAGTGTTCAATCAGGGAGAGGTGCATTTGTAGGTTTAATGACGCTGTTTTAGGATCTGAGTTGATTGAAAGGATAGCGGTATCATCAGCGAATGTTGCCAGGAGGGTATCAGGGTGGTCATGGATATCTGCGGTGAAAAGAATGTAAAGGATTGTACCCAAGACGTTGCCCTGTGGAACTCCCGCCTCAATTAAATGACTGTCGGAGAATTCAGTACCACAGCGAACTTGAAAGGAGCGGTCAGAGAGGTAGGATTGGAGTATTAGATATAAGGACTGTGGTAGATGGAATTTAAGGTTGAAGAGCAGTCCAGCGTGCCATACCCGGCCGAAAGCCTGTGCTATGTCCTGAAATGAACCCGAACAGTATTGCATCTTTTCTAGGGCTGAGGATATATGGTCGACAACTCGGAGTCCTTATTGGACAATGGAATGTTGGGAACGAAATCCGAATTGACGGGTAGGAATTTTATGGGATTCTATTATGGGTAGGATTCTTTTCATTAGGATCTTTTCAAAATTTTTTGATAGGATTGGGAGTAGGCTAATCGGTCTATAGGATGATGTATTGTTGGCAGGTTTGCCTGGTTTTAGAAAAAGAACGATGGTGGAATGTTTCCATAGGAGAGGAAAGTGGGTAGTTCTTAAGATACAATTATAAATATATGTAAGGAATATGATAGCTTTGGGTGGAAGTTGTCTAAGGATCTCTGGGGTTAGGAGGTCGTATCCAGGGGATTTACGGAGAAGTTTTTGTTTGACCTCAGATGGATTAACTGCTTTAGGTGGGAAGGAGAGTGGAATCGGTGTAGAGAAGAATTCTTCTACTTTTGCGGTATTGGTTGGATGGGATTTTGGATGAGGAATGAATATACTGGAGAGGTGTCTAGCAAATTCCTCAGCTTTGTCTTCATCAGAGGCTGCCCAGGAGTCATCGCATCGACGAAGGGGGTTGGAAATGTAATTGGATTTTAGGATTTTTTTGGTTATTTTCCAGAGGGAATTGTCATGAACAGAGAGAGAAGTAAGGTATTTATAGGTTAAAATGTGTTTTTAACTGCATCCGTTAAAGTCTTTTGGATGTAAGTCTTAAACCAAGGGATGTAAAGGCTTCGTACTTACATATTTGTTGTGCATCACCGGTTAGTCGTGATAACGCGATTTGAAAATGTCTATTTTCGTTTTGAGCTTTATTGGTAAATGATTAATTGCAAACGTTATTATAAATAATTTGAGGGGTTTTAGAAAAGCTATTAATTGAGTTGGATCACCATTTTATGACAAAGGTGCATAATCTTCTTTTGTCATATTATAATTTCCCATTTTATTATCAGTACCAATTATATCTATATTATTAAATAAAATAGCACTTAAATTACTTTTACTAGTTTTATTGCTAGTTGACATGAAATTTAATAGCCATTAAGACCAGTATACAAATGTATAATGCATAATACCTCAAAGCTATATGAGAGAAGTTCAAAAATTTCTGGAACTGGCGCCAAGTGTTGGAGCACAGCTCCAAGTCCTGATCCTGTTACCTATTGGCTATTTCTTCGGATCTACTTAGTGGCCTTACAGTCAGACCTGTTAACAAGTAGTCCCAAACTCTGTTACCTCAAGGGATATTTCGTCGAGTCTTCTTGGTCTGCAAGAATATTTCGTTAATATTCTATCTTGAAGAACCGCCATCCCCTGTTCGGGCTCCAATTTAATCATCTAAACTTACATCACTCAAAAAAAAAGTTTATTTATTAAAAAAAAAAAAAAATGTTATACAAATAACAGAAACACTACACTATGAGCTATGAGCTTTACTACCTAGCTATTCACTGACTACTGGGATTACAAACGAGGGGGTATATACACAGGCTTGGGAGGGGAAGCCAGGCTATTTGCTGAATTAGTAGTATTATTTACCATAACTGCTAAACAATACGTTTGCTGGCAAAAGCCTGCCCGACGCTCTCGATTCGAAGATAGTAAATTAAAGTTAATTTCATTAGGCAGAGAAGTGGTTATGTTAGGGATTCAAGTTTTCCATTTATTAGCAAGATGATTGGTTTAAAAACAAAGATTTGTATTAGCATCAAATTGTTGCTTATAAAAATAGCTAATAACCTTTTCAGGAAAAAAATATATTTTTAATGGTTTTTGTTTAATAATGATTTGTATTAGCATCAAATTGTTGCTTATAAAAATAGCTAATAACCTTTTCAGGAAAAAAAATATTTTTAATGGTTTTTGTTTTTTTAAATAACAGATTGCAAACGAAACGTTTTACCCGATTCACCTATTGTAATTGGACTAGTTTAACCGGTTACTTGGTTCCTTCACAAGCCTATGGCTGTATTTAAAAAATTTGATGTAATAAGTTAGACATTTTTTTAGCTCGAATTTTGTTAAATCAATGAGTTCAATCCGCCAGTCAATGAGTTGTAACCTTGATAAGAATATCATTCATTAGTTAGAATGTCATTCCGAATGACTGTGTAAGGCTTGTTTTATCTTCAACGACTCTTCATTTATAATCTCTAGTTATGCAGATGCATCTATAATATGTCAATTTTAAGAGTTTATATGTACAGTTATACTGTAAATTATTAGTTAGTTTTATCATGACATAAAATATACTCTTTAAGCCTTATAATTGTGATATTTTTGTATTTAATGTAGTACGTTGACAACTCTGTCGTAATTCAGTAAGCACTGTATCATGTTTTAAATAGTGATAGTACCAGATGATTTCATTTGTTTTTGATAATAGTTATAGTTTGTTGTTCTCTATGCTGGTTACATTTTTTCAAATCTATCAGTATTTGTCTTTTTTTAAAACTCGTTTATTTTTCCTATTTTATTAATTAACCATATATTCGACGTCCTCATATTATGGCCGATGATCATGAGGCTATTACTGATGAAGATGATGATTCTGACAACGGATTTCAGCCAGAATTGCAAGGAGTTCTTTTCAAATGGACCAATTATATCCACGGCTGGCAAAAACGTTTTATTGTTTTAAAAGATGGTACTCTGTCTTACTACAAATCTCGAGAAGAACAAGGATTTGGATGCAGGGGTGCTTTAAGTTTATTCAAAGCCACCATAAAGGTCTGTAACTTATAACTAAAACATAATTTTTCTTGTTCTGATTGCATTTAAGCATTTAATGTTGTTAAACGTTGTGATTGGATCATAATGAATTTCATGTTCATCGATTCTTTGACATGTAGTTCAATGTTTTATTACTTCTCACTTTGAAAGATAAGTACTATTTGTTTGATATGTTAGTCATTAAATGTTTAATTGTTATCAAGTCTGTTCTATTTTGAAATAAACTTTTTTGAAATTTCTTCTTGGGTCTTGTTTTTTTCAAGAATATAATAAAAACTATTAGATGTCTATAGATTTTAACACTGAAACTGTTTGAATGTACTAATTATATGATATTTTGGAGATGACACTTCTTATTAAAGTATATCTAAGTCATTTTTCATTTAATAACTTTAAAACAATGGAATGTTTTAATGAATTCATATTACATTTTTAATTTAAAACTTGTCTTAATCTTCCAACATATATGGTCTTTTAAATTGTCATAATTGAATTTGGAGGATTATTCATGGGTTAGATTGATTATATTATATCAGTGTTGTGTCCTATGACCCACTGAACTATTTTATGCTGATATGCACTAAGTGTAGATTAATAGCATTTGTAACTGATTAAAGCATTGCCCTCAAATGTTCTATCTATCAAATTATTTTTCATGTTTGATTTGTTTTAATCATTACAGTTTATTACTTTGTTTATATTTATCTAATTAATTATGTAGTAAATACTCTTTTATTAATATAAATAAAGTTTTTTAGCATTGATATGTTAATAATTATTTTACTTAACCCTTTCTAAAGTAGATAACATGAAATTCGTTTTATTCCAAATACTCTGTATAATAGTTTCTTCATTTTAAAGTTATAGCATTCTGTTGCTTACATATTAAGCATAATTATACTAACAATTTTTACTTCTACTAGTGTTGAACTTTTAGTTATATTACTTTAAAAAAATTATACACATTTATCAAATCATTAAGTGTAAAAATTATTGGGGCACGAAAACAAAATCTACGAATTTTTTAAAACTATTAATATTTTGTGTCCGGTTAAGTATTTTGTTTTATTACTTTTTCTAACTACCAATATTATTTTTTTAATCTTAGACAAAAATTTAAACCAGAATCAAATTTATTTATGTTGGGATTAATAAATTATCTTGGAATGATTCATAAGACATCGTAATAATAATATTCCAAGTAATCCTGCCAGATCAGTAGCAAAAAAGAAAAGGAAAAACTTATCACCAAACACTTTATTGATACGCTATTTAATTCGAAGTTTCGACCATACTAAGGGTCATTTTCGAGTCTGGAAAATTGTAATATCATTATTAGTTAACATTCACAATTACAAAAAGAATTTCTTATTATACTTAATTAACTTGTCTAACAATCTATGTTATATTATTTTCGATACATATAAATTTATCCAGATCTATACATAAAAGTATAAACTTTTTCTTATAAAAAAAAAAACTTACATGTATGTAACTTTAAACATTAAACCTTACATTAAAAACAATTGACTATTACCTTGATGAATCCTCCGTTATATATTCATCATTAATGTTCACTATAGAGTGCTACCAATGGGTAGTTTCTCAACAAGCGTGTTTCATGTTATTATATTCCTCTGTACTAATTTACTTGATGTATTCATACTAATACAGTTGTAATTATCATAATGAAAGTTAAAAAAAAAAAATGTTCACTGAATATATTATTTGTGACATTAATGATGAATATATAACGGAGGACTCATCAAGGTAATAGTCAATTTAATATAATTATAAGGTAATTATAAGGTAAAGTCAATTTTTAATGTAAGGTTTAATGTTTAAAGTTACGTACATGTAAGTTTTTTTTTTTATAAGAAAAAGTGTATACTTTTATGTATACATTTGGATAAATTTATGTGTATCGAAAATAATATAACATAAATTGTTCGACAAGTTAATTAAGTGTAATAAGAAATTCTTTTTGTAATTGTGAATGTTAACTAATAATGATATTACAATTTTCCAGACTTGAAAATGACCCTTAGTATGGTCGAAACGTCGAATTAAATAGCGTATCAATAAAATGTTTGGTGATAATTGGTCTAATTTTTGTAAAAAATAAAACCTTAAGACACCCAAAATCAGGATAAATGAACAGGAGAAAAGGAAAAACCTTTTTGTAGTAAAAATTAGAAATAATAAAAATCAACTTCAGAATCAAAATATTAGAAAAAAATATTAAGATCATTTTGTGGTTAGGTACTATTGTAATCATTAACATTTTGACACCTATATTCAATAACTGATTAGCTTGTAAAAACTAGTTGTGCCGTGTGGTTTCATCCATATTAAATTTGGTTTATATATGCATATTTATACACTTGAGTACATAACGAAGTGCATCTCATTAACTTAATAATAGCCTTCTTCTTTTTTTTTTTTTTTTGGACCAATCACTTAAGAAACAAGAAATTTATTTGATAGAAAGCTTTTTCAGTTCAACGGCTTTATACTAATAAAGTTTTTTTATTTCTTTTTTTCAGTACTTCAGCATAAACAATATTTTTTATTTTATTTTTTCCATGGTATAGATATATTTTGGCCAATTATTAAAGTCCTCCCCTGTTCTCCATTCTTTCATTTTAGCTTGACATCGACAAAATGAATAGAAGCAGAAACAGCACAACAAAATAAAACATTACTTATGTTTATGCATAAGGACTGTTTGTCATTTATAACTGCCAACTCCTCCTCCTGAACTACTTGACCAATTAACCATTACCCATGTATCATTCCCTGTGTTGTAGTTGGGAAGAAAATGGGCTGATGTACAAAATTTTGAATTTAGAATGAGTTGATCTAAAGGAATTAGGATTGGGTATAGATTCATTATCTAAGCAGCTTTTTTTTTTTTTTTTTTTGGGTCCTTCCCTTCCTCGCTGTTAAGGCTATACGGGATTTTCCCGGGCCAGGGGGTGTGGGCGGGGATTTAAAAGATTCCCCCGGCACCAGGACGCGAACTTGTGACTATTATATCTTTGATTCATATGTTAGGTTGCCGGGCAATGGTGGTGCAGTGCACACGCTTTAGCCCATTCGGCCACCTCCTATTATTAGATGGTTTACCCTACCCAGTTTTTTTAAATGTAATTCATTCATATTTCAAAGTTCTGGACGTTAGCCCTTTTCATTCCAAAGTGCAGATATATACATGCTGTATATAGATATATACGTGACTGGCTCAGTAGTTTGGGGAGGGCGTAGTGGCTATAAATAGAAAACGGTTTGTCTTTACATATGAACATAATTTATATTATTGAATATTTAATAGTTGTCCTTTGCATTATAAATGAAGGAGATGGTCATACATTGCAGAACTAACTTAACTAACAATGTATGTATGTAAATGAAGTTATTTCTATATTTATATTTTACTTTTGCCAATTTTGAGTTTATTCACATTGTACTCAGATCTATAATCTCTCAATTCTATTTTATATATATTTATAATTTAATATTTCATAGATATAGCATTTTTCCATTGTATCCATCCAAATTTCAAATTTTAGATACTGTAATTTCCTAGGTGTTTCCCAATTACTCAGTTACCACATGTTAGCTTCCCCTATACCTGCTACCCTTACCCTTGGCTTTCCAGTTCTAAGTGAAACTCCTAGCTGAACACACCTGTAAGTCTCTAATTTTATTCTTCCAATTTTATTTACTTATTTATCTAATTTTGGTTTCCTTTTTCTTTTCTTTCTCCACATTCCTTTATGTCTATTATTTCATATTATATCCTTTTTCCTTTTCTTTCAATCTCTCCTGTAGATTTTGTAGAAGTATATTCACATTTTCATTTATTATATATTACACTACAACAATTGTTAGCATCTATTTACTTCAGTTTAGGACCTTGTTACTCAGCTTACTTTGTTCATATTTTATTGTACTTACTGTTTATAATTTTAATAAGCTTATTCACAGTGTTTATAAATTATGTCTAAATATTATGTAACTGCCACAATTCTCTATCTTTTTGTATCTTTTCCGTTCTAGCCCTGATGAAGACCTGCAAAGTCGGGTCGAAACGTCGGCTTTCAATAAAATAGTTTTACCACTATTTAGCCTATTTATGACCGCAACCCCTGGACCATCTCCTTCCTTTATAATTTATATTATTTTGCTGTGCTGTTCTGTTTCCTCTTGGAATCATTTGTGCAATGAACACTATTTTGTGTTTTCGGTGATAGTTTTAGTGGTAATTTAATTTAATTAAAAAAATATTAGTATAGTAACTACCATGTTAAATCAGGATTCAATATTATTAAAGTTATCTACAAGACTTTATGAACGTGTCATTTCTATGTTCTTTGTATTATATAATATTTCTTTCTACTGATCAGATCAAAGGTTTCGATAGAATTAAACCTTCACTGTACAACATAAACTATAAAAACAATTTTTTTAAAAAAGCTGCACGTAAATTGGTCTAGTAGTTGAAGGATTTTCTTCTAGCTTTATTCTGGTCACATGTCTTCCAGCTTTAATAAATTGAATTATAAATCATGATTTCTTTGTTACTTCACTGCTTACAAAAGTTATCAATGCATATTGGACCTAGAAGTTTCCTGAGAATTAGTCACTTGAATCTCTATAGCATTTATTCCTGGCTCTTTGTATGGGTTCAACATTCAGATGCATGTACTAATACTGGTCTGACAAGGGTCTTGTATATTCAAAATTCCATAGTCTGATATAACATTTAGCGGTACTTGTGAACAATCCGGTCGGGATGGACTGCTATTTGCCAATGTTTATAACCTGAACACTGATAATTCTGATAAGGCACTAATAATCCTTATCTTCGTATTCATATTTATGAAAATTGAAATAGACAAAATCAAATATCATATTCATGGAAATTGAAAAACACAAAAAGAAATGTAATAATAACAAAACACTTTTATTTTACAACATATATTTCTGTCCTTTATTTTTACAATGAAACACTCGTCTGTTTCTCGGCAAACTCCGCTAAACATCCATTGTACAGGGAGAACTCTCCTTACATGATTTTTTCTTTTAGAAAAAATGCTTGTCTACTTCAATGACTTTGCCAGGCGCTCCAATTTTTTTAGTTGACCTGTATAACATGTTATGGACACAAACCTCTCTTAAATATTTGTTCCACATTATCACACTTTTGTTCATTAGTTTCAGCTGCTCTTAGCCCCACTGCATTGTTGTTAAATTATGAGACCTCCCATAAATTAATTTTAAAGCCGTTGAAAAGGTAATCTTCGACCCCTCTAACCATGTTTCTTTTCTTATCGATATGTTTTTGTTACAACTGCTACGAAAGCATCTCCATTTCGTCTTACAGTCAAACTTTATTTCATGACTTTCTTTACAGAATTTCACCTTTGGAGTTATCCTGGCCTTTAAAAATATTTGATAGCTTCTTCCTCTGATGATGGCAATTCCCACAGTGGTAATAATATCCATTTGAATAATAAAGAATGGAACAAAAATAAACAATGGAATAGCTCAGTAACAGAAGGATAACAACAACTTACACGGAATAAGAAGGGGGGTTATGTGACATAAGATAAGATAAGCAGGGACTTTTCCTCCCTACCAGATTCTTCACAAGTTCCTATTTAGCTTTTGAGATGTTTTCATAATCCAAAATAGGTTTTATTTGCTGCAATTATTTTTCTATTGATTTCTTGTTGCATGATATTGTTTGTGTTCACCTTAGAGTCAAGATATACAAATTCAGCCTCTTTCAAAAGTGAACTCATTATTAACGTTTTGTTGCTTTTGGTGCCTGCCTATTAGATGTTGTATAGCATGTAGTATATCAAAATCTAAAATATGGGCTAATTATTTTTTAAAAAAATAGTAATAAAAAGTTGAACAATTTTCTTATATTACAGCCCATTTCTATTATAAATATTGGGTTGGCAAATAAGTCCTTTAGGTTTTTCTGTTTATTTTTATGTCACTATGATACACTTCTTATCTGATGAATTAATCTGTAAGGTGGATTGTTAATCCTATTTGTAATATGTCAACAACTATATCTGTTAACTCTTGTTGAAACTAACTTAGTATTATGTTTGCTATTGCGCTGTGAATATGGAAGAAATTACCATTCATTATCGTCATATTTTGTTGTATTATTTTAAAAAAGGTAAGCATGCTGCAGAAGCTTATAGAAAGTTTTGCAGTTTTTATAGGGGTGATGCCTTAACAGAATGCACCTGTCAAAATTGGTTTGCCAAATTCCATTCAGAAAATTTTGACATCAATAATGCTCAATGGTCTGGTCGCCTACTTTAAATTGAAACGAGCATTGTTGATCAAAACCCCGCCCAATCAGTGTGAGAGATTGCTATGGCCCTAATAGGCTAGACATATTAGGATTTTCAGAAACAAGTTTTGCTATAGTTTTGATTTTCTCACCCTTTATGTTTTTTGATGGGCCGGACACCTCGCACGGATGCCAGAGCAATCGATCCCGAAGAAAATAATAACGGAGAAGCAGTTTGGCAGGCACAGAGTTGGGAGACCCAGACTGCGGTGTTCGAACATTGTCGCAGGTGACTTAATGTCCATTGGAGTGAGAAATTGGATGGCAGCAGCACAAAATAGGGACATATGGCGATTGTTGTTGGAGGAAGCTAAGACCCGTTTGCGGGTTTTTGAGCTGGATTAATTGATTTGTTATGTTTTTTGGGTCGCTGAACACAAATTTGAAGTTTGCTGGCAAAAAATTTGCCTGTCACTTTGTTTTTTGGGCACTTTCTGACCAAATTTTGGAAATTTTTCAGTTTTCGGCCGTTATCTGTAAAAGGAAGCGGTTTTTTAAAAAACTCAAACTATTCAAAATTAAAGTAGACAAAATTACCTACATTTCTTATAGAACACATTTTTTTTTTTTTTTTTTTTAAGACTAACCGTTTCACCGGGTCCATATTTCCATATCTAGTGAAATTCGCTGTTTACAGGGGAAATCGCCCTTGCTGTGATACTTAACTGTTGTAACAATTTATTACATTATACAATTTATATGATATCATAGTACATTTCTGATAAATAACATTTTTTTCTTTCGAAGACTAATCCAGTGATTCTCAATCACTATGCCACCGCATTTTTGTGTGCCATCAAATTTTGGAAATGTATATTAAAGAAAAATTAATCTCAAATTCCTTATTAAAAATATTCTTATTATTTACTTATTAATTAATCCCTTATAAACTGTTGTTTTTATAGTACATCAATGATACAAACGATCTATTGTTTTTTATTTACATTCAAAACTATTTTACACAATCTATTATAGGTAAGTAAACAACTTTTAAACTTATCTTTTTCTTTGAGTGCCGCAAAATTTTGAAATCGTTGAGATTTGCTGCAACCAAAAATAAGTTTAACAATCACTGAAGTAACCGTTTTGCTGCTAGAGTGCTCCAAAAAAAAAATTCACGGACCCATGAATAATGAATATAGGGAAAGTAATTAAAAAATGGACACAAATGATCTGTTTGTTAAATGAACTAATAAATATAACAAATGAACTAAACCATGCATTTGTTTAGTGAGCAGTTCATAATATATAGTTATCAGTAAAATTATGCGTAACATTATAATAATTGTTGGGAACGATGAATCGCTGCTGTCATAAAGTGAACTGCCTCAATCATCTGAAACAAACAGGAGAGGCTATTTTATGGATTTATTGATAGACAAGGTGAGTAATCTGCTCAAGTTGAAGATATTGTTGTACATAATTTTTTGTTTGAACCAAAAAAAAAAAGATTTTTGATGGTATTAACTTATATCAGATTTGTTTTAATTGTAATAAAGAATGGAATGTAAATAAATAATTGTTGAAACAGGTAACCTTATATATTTAACATAACTTATACAATCTGTTAACTTATTTCATAATTCTATGAATTTTTAACACTTATGGATTAATTTGTTGGTTTCGTTTATTTCATCTGTAAGAAACTTTGATTTGTTTTAAATGAAAAAAATAATTGCAGCATTTCTTTTTGGGCCCTGTATGTGTGTGGTCCTCACTCATTTTCAAATTACATCATTAGTATTCATAGTTAATTATAATTTTTATTTCAATGATTTGTCGTTTTTTTCTAGCCTCATGAGTTTGATGAATGCCGATTTGATGTTTCTGTCAATGATTGCGTTTGGTACTTAAGGGCTGAAACTCCTGAAGATAAGCAGCATTGGGTTGATATCTTAGAAGCTTTCAAGGTAGATATTTTATGTTTATAGACAAAATTTATATTAAAGATTGTTTAATTGATCATGTTTTATAACTTGAAAAACAACAAATTAAAAACAACTTGAGTGCTAAAGGTAGTGATCACTCAAAGTTTTAATGATGCTATTTTTTATTATTAATAAGATCTTTGGCCAGCCTTCTCCAGCTCTGTCTATCTAAGGCAATTATTTTTATTTTGCTTCAAGTAGCCGTGCATTACCTTTGTCTAGGATTCTATCTATCCGTCTGTGTAGTGGCTTATTGTAGGATTGCTTCAAGTTAAATGTCCCCTCTATCTTAATCTGCTCTCCTGCACATTATAAAATGTAGACTTATCAGTTTCTTTAAACAGCTCTTTATCGTTCCTTTTCCTCTATGCATTAGTAATCTGACCTCAGATTACTGTGGTTATTGTGCAGAGGATATTCCTCTTATATCTTTCAATTCTTCTTTCTAGGTTGCAATTTAGTATCTAGGCCACACAGCTGTCTGTATGTTATCATTGGCTTTATCCATAGTATTCTATAAACTTAATTTGATATTTCTAGAGATTTTTCAAGATTTCATTACTCTTGAAAGGGAGAACAATTTGTGCTTGTTGTATGCTAGTCTATTTCAGATAGTTGGTCATTTTTTGATTATTATGGAGCTGAGGTATTTAAATCTACTTTTGGAAATGATTTTCTATCAAAGCATATCATGTTGTGAGAGTGGACTTTTGGGTATACCATCATAAATTTTATTTTATCTTTAGTTGCAGAATGATTTGCTCTGTTTCTCTTGGAATCTTAGCTTATTTCTCAGTGACCTCTTGGTTGCCTCCTAGTACAGCTTATCATCTGCGTATTGTAGGATTAAATGATTTATTTTGACATGTAATCCTCCATTTTCCCATGATTATCTTATTACCTTTTGCAAGGTTAAGTTTCAAACCTGTTCAAACTTTGAAGTATTTATTTTGTTTAGGATCATTTGTTCACACCTTCATCAATTGAACAAGATATTAACAATAATAAACACTAAAGGCTGTATCTCCTATCCATATTAGAAAGTATTTTGTATCACTGTTTTATTTACTATGTTTCATAATTGTTTTGCTTCCTAAGTTAATTTATTTAATGATTTCAATTATTAATTTATTAGGACCACTTTTTTTTTGGAACTATTTAAATTGTGTTTCTTACTGTAGAATGTGAAAGTATATAATTTTTAATGAAATACAAGTCTTAAATGTATTTTAAAATTTTTCTCATGTTTTATTTTTATAAGTTATGATATGGAATAGAAATATTATAGTATGTAAAGGTTTTGGATACACTTTTTTTTTTATTTTTTATATTTCTTTTATTATATATTTTTTCTAGGCTGAATCTGGTTATAACAGTGAGTGCAGTTTACGACGCCATGGGAGTGCTGTTTCACTTACTTCTGTGACACTTTCAGCTGCTTCTGCTTCTAGTTACAAAAAGTGTCGAGGTAAATTATTTTTTAGATAGAGAGATTTTTAAAATCAGTTCTCTTTGTTTTTTTGTTCAATTTTGATACTCTATACTCTATGCCTTGTTAAATAAAATAAAGTAGTTAATTACCTAAACCAACTGAAGATGCCAAGCATAGAGAACCATCATCTAAAATATGGAAAATTGAAAGAAAAAACAATTTGCTTTTTCTGAAATTTCAACTATTATTGAAGATTTTAATACGTGTTTGAGGTATTTATGACATTAAAAACCAAGTTAAAAGTACTTATGAGCAAAGGTGAACTAATTATTGTGTAAGCTCCCTCAAGATTTTAGCTCAAAACTTGGAATAAAGCTTAACTAACAAATGTAAAAAAAAAAAAATAATTATATAATAAAAATAATGAACTGTATAAAATTGAAACAAAACAAAAACTGGACTAATAAGCATTTATTTTTCCATAATTTCCCATAATAATAAAGAAAAAAAATTAAATCAATCTTACATTTGCTTGGTAAAAAAATAAAATTAAACAAGAATTTTTAACTAACAAAAATAAAGATAAGAATAAATAAAAACAATTCTGAAATATTGAATAAAAGAAGTGATATTTGAATATATATACTGCACGAAAATGAATTGTGATATTGTTAGTTATGTATGATTTGTTTTCCCTAGAATTTTAATTTTATTTTTATTTTTATTATACAATACATTGTAAAATAATATAAATAAGATACCTCGGAAAATTTTATTAAAGATATTTTTAAAAAAAATGAATTAAAATTTTATGTGATCTTGGTTTTATGATTGTAAACATTTTGTAAAATTTAATAATTTGTGCAATATCCTGTTACGTACTACCTCACTGCACCTGTTCAGCATACTGTTTATAATGTCGCTGATTTCACTAAGAATTTCATACCATAAACATGGTAACACTGTTCTCAGTTGCTGAAGATTAAGAAGCTGCAAATGGTGGTCAAGAAGCTTTATGATGTGGAGACAATACAGGATGAGGCATATATGAAATATCCATATTTTCAAGACATTGATAAACAACTTTTCCTCTATGAAGTCTCATATTGTCATCAAGAAAATATAAATCTTGGCAATTATGGCCATGGTTTGAAGAATGTACTCTGCTGCACCTCTGGACTACATTGAAGGAACCACAAACTGTGACAGTTTGCCCATCCTCTGTTCTTACTAGACTCTTCTGTATCTAAGATTGCTATAAATAAAGAAACGCGATTTGTCTGTAAACAATGCAGCATTCCAGTTTTTGTCCTCACCTGGGTGTTCATTGCACCATGATCTGCGGTGTTGATGGCGACACACTGTTGCTGCAGGTTGTCTTAAAGGAAGGGGCATATATTGGGTTAAAAGGGCATAGGATGTTATAACAATTCCCACAAACGATTACGAATGGTTTCTTTTGGTATATGCCTAGGCAGAAAATTCTATACTTCTAAAATCTTACTTACTTACTCCATGGCGCTACAGCCCTACAAGGGCCTGGGCCTCCTCTACAATCCTGCTCCACTCTTCCCTATCCTAGGCGAGTCTCCTCCATCCTCTGATTCCCATCTCTCTCAACACTCTCCATTCCATCTGATCATCTTAATCGTGGACATCCTCTAACTCTTTCTCCTCCAGGCTTACCATCGAGTAATATTTCTGCTTTGGATTGGTCTATTGTTTTTAATGAATAAATAAGTAATCTTTTTGTTTGTTTTCAATTAGGAATGTTAATATAGAGGACAATAACCCTTAATCCTTAATTCAATGAAATGATTCTAGATTCCAATGTTTACTTTCTATGGAATCAAAATGTTTATTCAGTATCATTAGTTCAGTGCCGTTTCTTGCAGCACATTTCTTAGTCTCCGGCTTTTAATTTTTTCAATATTAAGTTCAAAAATGCCTCTTAGTGCTGAGGATGTTGCCTGTGGTGTGGCACTTATTGATGATGGACGTTCCATTAGATATGTAGCTAATGCCATCGGAGTTCCATATGAAACTTTACGAGACGACATCAGGCGTTTTCGGGAAACTGGTTCTTACAATAGAAGGCCTAGGGTAACAGAACCACGGGATGACAGGTTTTTGACTTAGAGAATTTTATGAAACCAGCTCCTTACCGTTGTTCAAGCGATTCATCAGCTCGAAGAAGTTCGAGGTGCGCAAATTTCTGAACATACCGCTCGGAGCAGATTAAATGAGTATGGATTAATGGCTTTTCATCCAGTAAGAGGACCAGAGTTGACCAGAACACACAGAGTAACACGGCTGGCTTTTGCTCGAGAACACAGCCATTGGACTATGGACAAATGGAGTGCTGTACTTATTACAGATGAGTCAAGATTCGCTCTTCGATCTCCAGACGGGCGTGAAAGGGTTTAGAGAAGAAGAAACGAAAGGTATGCAGCCTGTAATTTTTCCCAGAGCCAACCTTTCCAACGTGGTTCCTTAATGGTGTGGGCTGTGATTTCAATGGAGCGCCGCACAGAATTGGTTGTTGTTCCTGGAGGGTCTTTGACGGCCATTCGCTATGTAGAAAAGATTTTGGAACCTCAATTGTTGCCTATCCTCAACGAAATCAGCGATCGTTCAATTCTAATGCATGATAATGCACGCCCACATGTCGCCGGCATAGTGCAGACGTTCCTTCAATAGAACAATATTGAGGTTTTAGGGTGGCCAGCACGTTCTCCAGATTTGAACCCCATTGAGCATTTATGGGATAACCTCGGAAAACGAATAAGAGCGCGTGCATCACTTCCTGATACACTGCAGGAACTTGAAAGGGATCTTCAGGAGGAATGGGCTATCCTCCAGCAAAGGGACATTTTCCGACTGGTGGAAAGTATGCCGAGGTGTCTTCAAGAAGTAGTGAAGGCAAGAGGGGGAAACGCGCACTACTAAACGATGATGTAATTAATTTCTTTTAGAATAATAATGGTTCGTTGTTCAATTTTTTTTTCTCTAATCTTTCTTACCCAATCACATTTTGATTATTAAAGGTAAAAAAGATTATAAAATTCCTTAAATACTAAGTATTATCTACAAATACCATGTATTATATACAATTACAACTTTACAGAAATATTTTTAGATGAAAACATGGAAAAATCAAGTGGGTAGAATTTTTTGCCTGTCAGTGTATTTAGTTGATATGAGAAAATATTGGGATTTTTTTTTTTTTTAAACTATCTTTCATGGAGGAACTCAAAACAAATAAAAGTGTAAATAATATTATCTGGTCAAGGTACAGATTAATTAAAAACAATTTTGTAACCTTATCAACGATATAACATAACGATGACACTATAAATGATATGTGTTTGAGATGCTTGGAACCAGGTCAATTCTGTGTTGTAGAATTAAATCAATTAGATAAACAGTGAGTAATGTAAGTTAATTTCATTCTCAAGGAATTGATTTCAAAAGAAAAACTAAATAAAACTCTTGGGCAAGAAAAAACTGGAAGAAATGTATCACCTGCTGAGGATCCTGATGAACCCTACAGCAGGACCACATTAATTTTTTATAATATTATATTATGCTCAAAAATATATATTTGTGTATCCAATTTATTGATTTTAAGCCAACTTACACCAATGTTTTCTCTACAAAATCTTACTATCACATTTTGACAATGAAACTGACATGTGGGTTGACACATAATAAGTTAAAAATAGACATGATGATCGTGATACTGGTTATTATGAGAAGACACATGTATTTCACATAAGAAGTATAATGGACAAGTACATGATAGGATTGAAAATGGCTCGACAAGCCGAAACACTGCATTAATATTTTGTAGTGAAAACTTTGGTGTAAGTTGGATTAAAATCAATTTATTGGAAAATAAATATTATGCACCGAAGTAGAAGAGAAGAATATTGAGTATATTTGTGCATATATTTATATATAATATATATTTGTGAATTGACATTGCTTTTATCAAAACATAAATAAATTATGTATTTACAAAAAAAATAACTTGTTAACGCTCGCAGCAGTAATTTTCTTCATTTATTAATTTGAATTCATTTCTATTAATTTATAATTTTGTTTTGTTTTATTTTGTTAAGCATTAAAGTTTAAATATTAGGAAAAAACAACAAAAAACTGAAAGAAAATGAAATCAGTTGTTTTAATTGGTAACGTGCTGTTTGGTCATAGTTTATAGGCTCTATTGTTATGGATTGTATTATAGTCTTACATAAAAACAAGTTTTAGGTTCTAAGTTTTAAGCCCGTGAGCTTCATCAATAGGGGCCTAGCTCTATCCTTTACTGAACCAAGTGTTGCCAATCACTATACATTGCAGTTTCTAGCAGGAGTTCCGTATTTCTTCAATGTGGATTCGCTGTTCTACCCATTTTCAGTTTTGTGTAATATATACTGACAGTCAATAAATTCCACCCACTTGATTTTTTCATGTTTTCATCTAAAAATATTTCACCCACTTGTAAAAAAAGTTGTATTTGTATATAATACATGGTATTTGTAGATAATACTTCGTATTTATGGAATTTTATAATCATTTTTACCTTTAATAATCAAAATGTGATTGGGTAAGAAAGATTAGAGAAAAAAAAATTGAAAAACGAACCATTATTATTCTAAAAGAAATTAATTAATTACATCATCGTTTAGTAGTGCGCGTTTCCCCCTCTTGCCTTCACTACTTCTTGAAGACACCTCGGCATACTTTCCACCAGTTGGAAAATGTCCCTTTGCTGGAGGATAGCCCATTCCTCCTGAAGATCCCTTTCAAGTTCCTGCCAGTGTATCAGGAAGTGTTGCACGCGCTCTTATTCGTCTTCCGAGGTTTTCCCATAAATGCTCAATGGGGTTCAAATCTGGAGAACGTGCTGGCCACGCTAAAACCTCAATATTGTTCTATTGAAGGAACGTCTGCACTATGCCGGCGACATGTGGGCGTGCATTATCGTGCATTAGAATTGAACGATCGCTGATTTCGTTGAGGATAGGCAACACTTGAGGTTCCAAAATCTTTTCTACATAGCGAATGGCCGTCAAAGACCCTCCACGAACAACAACCAATTCTGTGCGGTGCTCCATTGAAATCCCAGCCCACACCATTAACGAACCACGTTGGAAAGGTTGGCTCTGGGAAAAATTACAGGCTGGCATATCTTTCGTTTCTTCTTCCCCAAACCCTTTCATGCCCGTCTGGAGATCGAAGAGCTTTTTCGTTTTTGCCTGTCAGTGTATTATAGAAAATTTATTTTTTGGGTATCTGATAAAACTTTGTTTCACCCAAATATTTCTTTTATATTTTATTTTATAAAAATTGTTGACTTAGAACTTTTTATTTTTATAAATAAGAGTTGAAGAAACAAACAGAAGAGCAGTTCTTATTGGTTTTAAATTTCTATAAAATGAGATAAGTTTTAAACCTTGAAGGTAACATTTCTCCAAAACGAAACTAACTTTTTTGATAATATAGTAAAAACTAATTGAGTGACAGATTTGGAAATGGAATGTCTTCTCCATGAAACAGAAAGTTTGTCTTCAAGTTAAAAAGAAAGAAGTGTTTCTAATTTTGGAATTATGTTTTCTCCCCAGGTGTAAAGTTACCTCATTTTATGGTGATACTGAAAAAAAAAATTAAATCTTGAAAGAGTGCTACCAGTGGGTAGTTTCTCAACAAGCGTTTTCATGTGATTATATACCTGTGTACACATTTACTTTATGTATTTATGTTAATAAATACATAGATAGTATATTAATAAATAGTATATGTCTTGAAATTTTCAGCAATTTTTTCGCTTTTTTATTTTTCATTGGAAATTGCTGTCTATTTGTTTAAATTAATTTCCTTCGTGTCTTTTTCGTTCAAACGTCATTCAATAAAAGTAAGGTGTGAAAATTTATATTAATTTAAATTAAATATATATTATTTGAATGAAATGTGTTTTATCATAAAAATTGTTTTGTTTTTTTTGTTCCAGATCTGAAATTAAAACTTGCTGAAATGGAAACATACAGAGATATTTTATGCTCTCAGATGGATACATTACAGAGATATTTTGATTCATGTGCAGACCGTGATCTCAAGAAACAAAAACTTGGTTAGTTTATGCTGTTTTCTTCTTATTTTATTTTTCTCAATTTGTATATAAAAAGTATGAATGTACACATATAATCATAATACTGAATGCTCTTGATTGTGGCAGATTCTATTATTATTATTCAAATAAAAAAAGAGAACGAGTTTCTAAAAATAAGTTTATGTTAGCGAGCCATTGCATCAAGTTATGGCGATATGTTATGATTCATCTTTTAGTTTAATTTTTTTTAAATATTGTGTGAAATATGTGAAAAAAGTGTAAATAATTGAAACATTGTTTTGTTGTTATGATTTGTTGACTCATTTGATAGTCTGTTGGATGGATATGTGAAGGTTATATAGACTAGGAGATACTGACTATTTCATTGAACTGAAGGATTAAAGTAAGTAATAATTTTTAATTCTAGATAAACCTCATCTGATAACACAACTTTGGTCTGTCAGTTGAGACCCATTCCTTTCTGTCCAAAAATTTAAATTAAAGATGCGAAATTTGACAATTCATTTAATGGAAAAACTGATGCCGGAAATTTTGATATGATGTAAAGAATGTTTCCCTAAAAGAGAATTCACCTTGGCTGATGATTTAATTGGTTGCATTTTCAAAACGGACAACGTCACAGGCATCAAATTAGCCCAGTGGAATGGGAAATTGAATGATAAAAAAATTCAAATAGTCAGTTTCTCTTTGGTTATGTATGTTTTTTGGGATGCTGAATTTAAATTTGATGTTCTCTAACGAAATTGTCCATTACATTCTGAGATATATGCAAAAAACAGCAAAATTTCTTATTCTTTTTTTAGTTTTTTGGAGATGACTCCGAAACTATGCATTTAATCGAATTAATTATGATATATAAAGCTAAACAAGATAAAAATTTTTTATGACAATTGTACTTTGATGACTATGACGTCAATTTTCGAAATCCCACCTAGTACATCGTCAGGTGAATTCTCTTTTGGAAACATATTCTTTTCATCTATCAAAATTTCAGCCATCTGTTCTTCCATTAAATGAGCCGTCAAATTTTGCCTCTTTAATTTAAATTTTTATATAGAAAGCAATGACTTTCAACCGACTGACCGAAGTTGGGTGTTCATATGAGGTTTATCTTGAGTTTAAAATGTTTACTATTGAGTTGTTAGGAAAATAATGCAAGATTTTGATTTTTCTTTAAAATATAAATATATAACTAACTGTTTACATTTACTGGATTATTTATTTGTATGAATGTCAACACTTATTAATCCTATTCCAAGTGATAAAGTTTGTTTACCTCTGTAGCATTTCGCTGCTTAGAAATAATTTAGTCTTTACCAAGATTTCAATGTGTGATTTTCGTATAATTTTGTTTTATGAATTTAAACTGGGCCAGAATGGAGCCCAGACGACCAGAAACATCAATCAAGTCTGGGGTAAGAGCAGCATTAATGAATGCACTGTTCAACGTTGGTTCCAAAAATTTCGAGAGGGAGACTTCAGCCTTGAAGACAAAGAAGGACTTTCTCTCTTGATGACGATGTTCTGCAGGCTTTGGTCGAAGAAAACCACAGAACAACTGTTCGAGAACTTGCAGGAAAACTTAACCTTTTGGGTTTCAAATAAATGAAACAGCTGCCAAAAAAACTAGCGTTATGAAGGTTGTACCACACTTCTTTGCCAAACAAAAATGACCCTTTTCTGTCCAGAATTGTTACTTGTGATGAAAAGTGGATAGTTTACGATAACAGTAGACTTTCTGGACAGTGGCTCGATAAAGGAGAAGCAGCAGAACATTTTCTAAAGTCTCCAACTCATCAAAAAGGGTGATGGTTACTGTTTGATGCGCTTTTTTTGGTTTGATACACTATAGCTTCTGAAATCCTAAAGAAACCATCAATGTTGAATCGTATTGTAACCAAATTAATGCAATGCATCAGAAATTGGCAATAATGAAGCCATCTCAATCGGAAGGGGCCCATTTTGTTGATGACAAAGCCCGGCCACATGTCTCACCTGTGATGTCACAAAAACTGTTGGAGCTTGGATATGAAACTCTGCCACATCCGCCTGCCCTACTATCTGGATCACTCGCCTATGGATTATCATTTTTTTAGACATCTGGACCACTACTTACGTGACAAAAAATTTAATGGCGTAGGAAATGCATTTTGGAGTTTATTCTAAAGATGGGGAATTCTATTCCAAGGAAATGGAAAAGTTGCCAAAACGTTGGCAGTAATGTATTGTTTGGATTAGCGGAGACTATTTTGATTAAATAAAACAGTTGTAAATCTTTCTTTTTTAACCAAAATTCTACATTATTTTTCGGACAACCCAATAGTGTTAGGTTCTTCAGTTAATGAAATGGTCAGTAGCTCTTAGTCTAACAGAAGAACAATGGTATAGCTATATTTTCAAGAATAACTGAGTTAAGATTTGTCTATATTGCTTTGAAGTTAATTTAGGTAAAAAATTTGCGTTGAAATTGAAGTTGTTGATGCTTTAACCTTTAATGCAGGATGGCGACTGACCTGGAAAATGGGGAAAGTCGGGGAGTTTTCAAAACAGGGAAAAGTTGTTAAAGTCAGAGAATTTAGTACGTAAATATTTTTTTGTTCAAATTGTGAATAAATATACAGTAAATATTGTTTATAATGACCTTGAAGGGGTAAACTTCGTCATTATAAATGAACACAGTTGCTATATTCATCCATCTTTGACTGTTGATAATGACACTAGTCACTATAATGAATAACATTTAAGTAAAATGGACATAAAACATTGAAAAGAAAAACAAACTAATACTTTTTTTATTTTTATTATTTTAATGGAATTTACAACTGTATTACATAGAAAATACAATAAGTAAATGTGAAATTAGTAACATGACATGTACAACATGAAGAGAAACTACCCATTGGTAGAACTCAAATTAAACTAATACTATTTGTAATATATACATCTGGGTCAAGATCAGGCTGGCAAGCACTCATTCGTTCGACCCGTGGTGCTCCTTAAAAGAGCATTTATTAACTAGAAAAGTCACAGTTTATATCATATAGATAATTATTATGATGTTTATTGTAATAAAAAATCTAAATTACTTATGAGAAACTACATTAATGTTATAATCCTTTGTAACTCACTTTATTTTATAATAGAGAAAATCAGAGCTTTATATGTTAAGTATCATCAACTTATGCCACCTTTCAGTTTATGAAAATAAAATGAAAGTGATAAAAATAAAGTACTTAAAGTTTAGTTTTCTAAAATAAAAATTCCTAATCAAGCTTAAAAATGCTTTCTCTAAAACATTTTTTTTTTGTCCTTAACATTTTACTCAAAATTCTATTTTGTTGAAACATTATATTTATTATTTAAAAGACTGACTTTTTTTTTTTTTTTACTCAAATCATTTTGTAATTAATTTTCTTTATGTATAATAAATACATTATTTAAAAATTATTTATTTTTAATATTTGTGTCCTCAGACATATTGATCAGGAAAAACTATCATTAAATATGGAAAAGTCAGGGAATTTTACTTTAAGTGTCGAGTAGCCACCCTGTAAAGATAGTTTGCAAAGAAAACTTTATATAAATACATATAATGAATTTACTTTGATAATTGAACAGAAAAAAGTATATTTAAGTACTTTTTTCATATAACATTTGGTATATTGCTACATAATAGCAGTGATATAATAATGAATATAAATATTAATTTTCTTCATGTCTGAGTGACAACTTAGGTCTAAAATGACTTTTTGATGTCCTTGAACCCAAGAAAGTCAGGAGGGAATGGTAATACCAAATTGACCCCAAAAAAATTAGTTATGGAGGTATCTGCATTGTCTGTGCTCCCGCAAGCAATATATGTCTGTAAGAAGACAGCATCGAAAGGCCAAAAGTCTTCATAGAGTGTAGCACTAAAAAAAAAAACAGGTGTATATATATATACACACACAATAAAATGTACATTATGCATCAATTTATTTCTTCAAATGCAACATTAAAATTACAACAGATGAACTGAAGCATTATTAAAAATCTGAAAATAAATTGTCGTAAACAAGTCCTAAAACAATGGTTCATGAGTTTGAAAATAATGAACCTATTGGTAAAATTGTAAAAGGATTATGATTCCATTTACTGCTTGAAGCTGTATAATATTCTAGTTGAGCAGGGGATTCCAAAACATTTTAGTAAATCTAATAAGGATGTTGAATCGGTAGTTATTTACCTGAAAAATTTGAGGTTTCGTTCGGGTTTAAAACAAGATGATACCCTTTCTTTTGTCCTATTTAATTTGGCATTAGAAAGATTATACATACCAAAAAAAGTTTTAATCCGGATGGAACAAGTTTCTTGTCTAGATATGCTGATAATTTGGTACTGTTTGGTGTAGACACAGAAAGAGAAATACTCTATTGAATTTAGTTCTACTCTACTACATACTACTACTGCTTGATTCACGCCATTCTGATCAATCCAATTTGAACATAGCGTTTAATATAAATGATTTTATTATCAAACATTTTTTTTCCTCCCTTTTCGCATTATTATTCATGCCTAACATAAATACTATATTACACTAAACTATCACTATTATACAATATATATTTGAGTGAGACTAATATAATATAAACTAAAATGTTTAAATACAGTTACACAATGCCCAATAGCATAAACTGTACCCGTTTAGTATAACTGAGGTGATTACATTGCGGTGGATATAATGGTCATGTATAATTGTTGGTTCAGTATCAAAAGAATCCCTAAAAAGTTAAGTTGCACTGTGCCGACTGATAAGCATCTGAGGGATAAACCGAAGTGAAGATGGAAGAATTGTGTTAAGGCTGATCTAGCAGCTTGGTTTGAATGACCCCAGATGGATGGAAATATGTAGACAACAATTGGTGGTATTCGGATCGAACCTTTAAGTTTGCTATTATTACAAGCAAACCTTTTGTTATTATTTATTGTTTAGAAGGTCATCGATCTGCGGGTTAGCATAA